GTTTGTGGGCCGCACAGCGTGGTCTGCTTACCTGCTAGTTTGTGGGCCGCACGGCGTGGTCTACTTACCTGCAAGTTTGTGGGCCGCACGGCGTGGTCTGCTTACCTGCAAGTTTGTGGGCCGCACGGCGTGGTCTACTTACCTGCAAGTTTGTGGGCCGCACGGTGTGGTTTGCTTACCTGCAAGTTTGTGGGCCGCACAGCGTGGTCTGCTTACCTGCAAGTTTGTGGGCCGCACGGTGTGGTCAGGTTCTAGAAGATGGATGGTGTTGCCGTAGGCGCCGAAGAAAAGAGCATTGACCAGTCCATAGGAACATACCGGGAACATCATACCACGGAACAGACCATTTTTCTGACAGGGGAACAAGAGAACATGCGGTTCAAGTCGTGATGCTGGGGTACTTCAATGTTCATTCACCGCAAACATTATTACAATGTACACTTCCAAGAAAACACATGTTCTGTGGAATAAAAACTTTTGAAGTAGCCGATAGCGTCTAGGATGGCGTTGAAGACATTCCAACCATTTGCTTTAACAAGTCGACGCCACATGAACTCACGCATATAAGAATCGAGTATATGTCTGTGTGTGTGTGTGCCATCGTGGTGCTTGCTTCTCTCTTTTGCCGATTTCCACGTACGTTCGATGCGTTGAGTATTGGTACCTGAGTTCGGATCCACAAAGTTAACGGAATCACTGACCGTTTGATGAGTCAATCCCGGAGTGGTGCCAATTGCATTACATGCTCTCCATTGATCAGACATGACTGCTGTGCCCGGCAGGATGTGCGCTGTGATTATCAGCCTAAGTGTAGCTGCTGATCTATCTTGTAGTACACAAACCATGAAACACTCGCGAGTCTCCTGACAAATGCCTCCAAAGACCCATGTTGTGGCAAAACTCATCCGACTTGATTGTTTTCTGCGCGTAAAGAGACTCTCCTCAATTTCAAATGTGGTATTACGTCCTCAAATAATAACAGGATTTTGTCCAAGTGTATTAGCAAATATCTCCCGCAGGTAATTATTCCAATGAACGACTGCTTGCTGTGAAATGTCCAATTCACATTCGCAAAATTTGATGCTTTTCAGTTCTGTCGACCAGCAGTCTGTGAAAAGAATGACCTGTCTACAAGTAAGACGTGAGCCATGTAGCCGAGTACCCTGCCGAATCGGGATATCGTGCCCGCAGTTAGCGTGCTGGCATCTCCAACGATCCTGTCGGTTATTCAAGGACAAAACCATGTTATGGTTGTTAGCACATCGTCTGACAGCATGTATCATACCGTGTTGTTGTAGAAACAAGATACTACTGGCTTTATCGTTGTAACACATCTACTCTGACATGGCGTGGGATCTTATTTCTTATGCTGTGGGTTGTCAGTAGTATGGTTACTTATGTTATGTTAATACTTCAGGATGCCGACTAAGTCTTCTTCATTCTTTCACTTATTATCCAGGCACGTAAAGAAGAATACTCAATTCTAGTTAAAACTCACAGTACTTTATTGAACACACTTTATACTGATAATATTAATGATAATCCTTGCATGAATGTAATTTCACATGTATATATATAGTATTCCATCATTCAGAAAGACACGTCCTCACACTACTATAACTCAGCTCATCTGTCTAATCACACAGCTCTCACGCTACTGTTCTCTACTGCTCTGCGCTCAGCTCTGACTATCTCAGTCAACTCATACTTTATTACCAGCAAAGCGTGGAAAACAACCGCTCTGACAAAAACATAATTTTACTCTCCAAAAACGTGGAGCTCACATTTGCATCTCAAAAATACAATCCATTGATTGTCTCTCCTCGTGGAAAAAAACATGGTCAACACAATTCACTGTTCACTCATGCTACCTCTCTGTTTTC